CTCAGCGTGCCCGGACCTACCTTTCCTGCCGGGAAGAGCAAGCGGAACCAACAGAGCATGGCCTGGAGCCTGGGAGAAAACTGTCCCTGGAGCCAGGCTCTCCAGGCCCCAAAACTGGCTTCTTGCTATGTCTAGCTGGGCAGGCAACCTCATGGGTGGAGGATTGAATGAGCAGAGCATAAAGTAGGATCATGGTTCACACAACACCCTGGCAGAGAGCTCTGAGGTTGGAGTCAGGTTGTCCCTGGAGGAGTTCCCAGAGAGGGGAACCTCAACTTGGGGCAAGTGGGGTCTTTGGTGTCTCAGAAGAATTTCATAGGGCTGGGGCTGTAGCTCAGTGGTAAAGCATCTGCCTGGCATGTGTGAGGCACTGGGTTCAATCCTCAGCACCACAAATAAAGGTGGTGTGTCCATCTACAAAAAAAAAAAAATTCAGCTGGGTCTGGTGGTGCATGCCTATAATCCCAGCGGCTCTAAAGGCTGAGGCAGGAGGATCAAGCGTTCAAAGCCAGCTTCAGCAAAAGGGAAGCACTAAGCAACTCAGTGAGATCCTGTTGATCAAATGTTAAAAAAGGGGGGGCTGAGGATGTGGCTGAGTGCTCTTGAGTTCAATCCCTGTTAGCACCACCCCCACTCCCGCCAAAAATAAAAGAAATTCAGCATGTGCTAGTCAGAGATGAAGATGTATTTAGGAAGACAGTTAAACATTCAAGGGAGAAAGGCCATCAAGAGATGACTTGGAGCCAGGCACAGTGGTGCACACCTGTAATTCCAGCGTCTCAGGAGGCTGAGGCAGGAGGATCACAAGTTCTAGAACAACTTCAGCAACTTAGAACCTAAGGATTTAGACCCTACCTAAAAAATGAAACACCAAAAGAGGTTGGGGATGTGGCTAAGTGTTAAGTGACTCTGGGTTCAATCCCTGGCATCAAAAATGTCTTTTGGGGTAAAGAAATACACAAATACACGTTCAAGGGAGAATAAGGACCATCCCCAGATGGAAAGAAAGCAGCCCTTTGTTCAGGGGTGTTGCTTTTATGGGACAGTAGCCAGGACTGAACTAGAGGTGGAGTCGGGGCACAGTTACTGCACAATTTCACACCAGTTTTTCCAGATCTGGCTCGAGGCCCTCAGGCTACTTTTTGTGGACAGGGAAATAGGCCACGGGCCTGAACCCAGGTGGGTCAGGTTGCTCAGGAGCTGCTTATTTATTTTTAATATATATATATATTTTTTATTTGTAGATGGACACGAGACCTTTATTTTATTTTTATTTTTGTGGTGCCAGGGATCAAACCCAGTGCCTCAGGCATGCTGGGCAAACACTCTACCTCTGAGCCACAACCCTGGCCCCAGGAGCTGTTTGAGACTCATCTTTCTCTGTATCCCCAAATTCCTATCTCATGATGTCTGATTACACATCCCACTCTGACCTGTGTCGAAGTCCCCTGCTCTGCCTAGCATGGACCCGTTTAGGGGTGGGGGGGGTTTCTTTTCTTCAGGGTTATAGCCAGGATTGGCTTTCCTGTGTCACTAGGAGGCCAGCATGTATTCATTGAGAAGTATTGTGTAAATGATTGCTACTCCCAGGATATACTAAGGACCATTCCTCAATGAACACACATTTATTATTTTTCGTACTGGGGATTGAACCCAGGGCCACTTAACCACTGAGCCACATCCCCAGCCCTCTTTTATATTTTATTTAGAGACAGGGTCTCCCGAGTTGCCTAGGGCCTCTCTAAATTGCTGATTTGAACTTCAAACCTCCTGCCTCAGCTTCCGGAGCCACTGGGATTACAGGCATCCACGAGAGGATGGCGGGAATACCAGTTTCTTAATGTTGTAACTTCCTGAGTACTAATCTTTCATTCTACTTCTCTCCTTGGCTGACAGAGTAGCTCTGCTGGGGATGGGAGGAACTTTAACTAGGATGTGACCCTGAAGGTCAGCTCCAGCCAGTTCCACGTGGATGTCCAGCAGGGGAGCTGCCCACATCACCAAGAGAGGCGGCCTCCAGCAGTGATGTCAAGGCCCCCTGCCCCTTCCTGCCTCCCAGAGGAGCCGGTATAGAAAAGGAATTGAAAGGCAGCTAGAGGTTGTCCAGTCTTTGATACTTAAACTCTCATTTCCCTAAGGTCTGGGGTAGCTTCCTACACTTGTTCTTAGCCAAAAATCAGAGAAGCATGCAGCTTCCTACAGAAACTTGGGCAATCAACAGTTCATATGTAGATTTTAAACTTCCACTTTATACTTCCTAGTAGCAGGGAGAAA